CTGGGGCATCTTGGCTGTTTCCATAACTTGGCTATTGTGAATAGTGCCGCAATAAACATGGATGTGCAGGTGCCTCTGGAGTAACAGTCTTTTGGGTGTATCCCCTTGGGGCCTTTGTTAAGGAAAATTAGGGTTACGTGAATGCCAGCATTGTGAGACCTTGACAGTGGATCTGATAACCAAGATGGCTCCTAAGTGACATAGGGACAGACATGGATTCACATCCCAAACAAGACAGAGCAGGATGGCAAAAGAGATCATCACTCCACTGGGAACCATGTGCAATTCAAAACTTATTTCTGAAACTTCAGAAATTGCTTATTTCTGGAACTTCCCATTTAATATTTTCAGATCACCAGTGACCATGGGTAGCTGAAGCCTGGAAAACAAAACCATGAATGAGGAGGTGCTAGTATACTCTATTTCCTCCGTATGGCTCCAGTACTGCATACCACGAGATCACTAGGGTATAAAATCACTATATTACACTACATGAAAGAGAAACAATATATGCTGGTGCAGGATTTTGCAAGCTACAGCCCACATCCTTGATCCAGCCCCAATCCATCTATTTTTTTATAGCCCTGGAGTCAATAGTTGAAAAAAAAAATCAAAAGAAGAATATTTTGTGACATATCAATATTAAATAAAATTCTAAATTCAGTGTCTGTAAATAATTATTGGATCACAGCCATACCCATTAATTTACATATCGCCTGTGGTGAGTTGTACACTACAATAGCAGAATTAAAGAATTGCATCAGACGGCTGTGTTCCAATGGCTCATGCCTGTATCCTAGCTACTCAGGAGGCAGAGATCAGAAGGATAGAGGTTCGAAGCCAACCCAGGCAAAAAAAAAGTAAGACCCTATCTCAAAAATACCCAGCACAAAAAAAGGGCTGGCAAAGTGGCTCAAGTGGTAGAGCACCTTCCTAACAAGCATGAGGCCCTGAGTTCAAACTCCAATGCTGCCAGAAAAAAAAGGAATTGCATCAATGATAACAGGGCCCACAAAACACAAAGTATTTATTATCTGGCTCTTCAAAGAAACTGTGTGCTAGTTGGCTCTGCTGGGGTATGAAGGATTAGGGGAGGGTGACAAGTTGCTTTGGTGGAGTGACATTTTTGGAGAATCAGTTCTGCTTTGACAAGAAGCAATTTGGTTCTGGGTTGTACTTTTGACAGTAGAGATCAGTAGCGATCTGAAAGCTGAGGCATCTGACACGGACGAATGCTTATATTACATTATCATTATTTTTGAAATGACAAGTGATTCTTGATGACTGGTTTCTTTTCCCCACTTCCCAAAGGAATTTGACCAGTTTGATCAAATTTCATCAATGTCAACGGTACAAAAATGTGCCCTGTTGTGAGCACTGTTTGTGTCAGAGACAATAAACAAACGCTTTTAATCCTTTTTCTTGCTGAAGCAGGAAGCCACCCCTTGCCAATAGGAAATTTAAAACAAATCCTGCAAAGTTTTACGTTTGGTTCAAAATGTGAAACACTGAAGTGCTGGATCTTGAAATCTTGGCAACTCCCATTTAGTGTCCTTGGTGAGAACACGTGTGGACCATCACTGGCTTTCCAGTTCACTGGGAGGGTTCCACCTTGCCCTCTTAATCCCAGAGTCAACTCTGATTACAAATATTTTCCTCTGGGGAATCTGACTTGTAAGGAAGATCCCTGTGGTTCCTGTTAAATAAAACACCTCCCTCTAGCTGCCTCGCTCGTTCTCAGGCTTACTGTGTTTCATCAGCCTAAAGACCGTTGGACATCAACAATTGTTAGAGATCATTTGTTTTTATGGTGAAAAGAAGAAATAAAAGTGCAGGGGAAGGCCTATGCTTCTCTGAACTGTTTTCATTTTAGAGAGTGAGAATCTGGTTGTGTTTTTTTGTGTTTGTTTGTTGAGTAGTAATACAATAGAAGAAGACATGTTGTGAGCAAGTAAAAAATATTTTGTATTCTAGGGTTTTCTTTTTAATTCATTACGAAATTAGAGAAAACTTTAAGGAAAGAAGAAAAAAATAAGTGAATTATAAGAAAATGTAAACTTCAGGATGTAAGGTACTGCTGAATAAAGACCACACCACGTGTGGAAAAGAAAGATTTATTGGAACCAGACTGCAGGGCTGTCACCCTTTTTGGGTTCAGAGTGGAGCGGCTTGGCTGAAATGAGTAGTGGGCTTTATAGGAGGAGCCAAGCCAAAGGGGAGAGAGAGAGTCTCTGGCCTCTGATTATCTATGATCACCAGATGGAATAGGTCGACATGCCTGGCTAGTTGAGTAACTGGAAGTTTCTGAGTTGTTTTGCAAGGCGAGAAACAATCAGGCAGGGACACAAGCAGGGGAGAAGCAAGTGGTCATAAATCAGGGGGTCTGGTTTCGGTGCTAGCCTCGGGACCTTCTGCCCACCCCAAGAATGCCAGGACACATTCCAGTTTAAGTTAAAATAAGAATGGTTCATGACAAAATGAAAAAAGGTCCTACTAATAACAGCTGGGCATGGTGGTACAAATCTGTAATCCCAGCTTCTCTGGAGGTTAGGCAGGAGAATTGCTCCAGCCCAGGAGTTTGGGGGCAGCCTGGGCAATTTAATGAGACCCTGCCTAAAATAGTGGTAGTAATAGTAATAATAATAATAGCTTTTCTTCATTATCAGAAAAGTAGTATCATTTAAAACTGGCAATCATAAACCAGGTGCTGGTGGCTCACGCCTGTAATCCTAGCTATTGGGGAGGCAGGAGGATTGTGGTTCAAGGCCAATCTGCACAAATAGTTCACTTGACCCAATCTGGAAAATAGCAAACACAAAAAAGGGCTGGCAGAAGTGGCTCAGGTGGTAGAGCATCTGCCTAGCAAGCATGAGGCTCTGAGTTCAAACCCCAGTACCACCAAAAATAAACCTGGCGATCTTAGCTGTTAAGAAGCCTGTTAAGAAACACAAGTTACTGTACACCCACACCTCATTAGCCAGTGTTGATTTCAGAGTTTGACCCTAGTGGCAACCATGTTTGTAACCACTCTACAAATGTGATTATTTTGTAATGGCCCACCTCCTCCTTTAACTGTTGATAGGGAAGCAAAGCCCTCTGGGTAGAAGAGCTTGGGTAAGTGCCACCAGCCAGTCAGGGGAACCGTTCCATGGAGGCATTGAGACACAGTCTACAAATCACCAAGACAGCATGAGAAACTGGGTAACTACTTTTGAGTTTGAATTTTTGTAATGTCCACTTTAATTTCAAAACAAGATGCATCCAAAGACCCCCTGCATCCCTCTCAAAACAAGGTGAGCCTTGGTGGTGACAGGCAAATGGAGCAAATGCCACTTCTCACCTGCTCTGGCTGTCAGGGGAGACCCCAACCCCAGGGGCCAATTAATAGGGACATGGAAGGGTGTAGAATTCCAAGAAGGCCTCAGTGGGGATCTGGCCTTGGTCCTCAGCAGTGATTCCAAGTAAGACAGTGCATTTTTTTTTTTTTAAATCCGGAGGTCTATTAATTGGTAGGAACCATGTGGCCATGACCTCACTCAGGGCCCACTGAATGTTGCAGAAGCAGCACCATGTGGTACCTGATCCCCTGAATGAGGGTCTCGTGGCCTTGGCCAGATGGGTAAAGAGAATTATTGGTTTTGTTCCTCTTATGACACAACTTCTGAAAAATAGTATATTTAGGTTTTTTTTTAAGGTATTTTAATAGTATTTTCTGAAAAATCAAGATGTTGCATAACACGACTAAGAAATAATCTGGATATTAGCTTTTTTGGTTATTCTAACACAATTAAAAAGAGGAGTGCCTGCTGAGCTGGTGGAATGCCAGCGCTGTGGCTGAAGTTCAGTGGCAAGTTGAGCCAGCAGAGCGCAGAAGCCGACAGACAAGAGCTAACTGGTGAGCCCCTGACCTTCAGAGCTGACACAGCTGGGGACAGTAAGACTCCATCCTGAGGAGGTGTTGATTCACCCCCATTTCACAGAAAGTTAAAACGGGGGCACAGAGGTTAGCTTGCCTGGGGTTCACAGCTCCTAGGCAGCAGGTGCTTGCAATCAACACTTCAAAGAGGAGGTGAGGGTTGCCAGGCATGGTAGCTCATGCCTATAATCCTGCTTGTCAGACAGCAGGAAGATTGAGGTTCAAAGCCAGCCCATGCAAAAAATAAATAAATAAATAAATAAATAAATAAAAGCCAGGTGTGGTGGTGGGTGTGTGTCATCCCAGCTAAGATGGGAAGCATAAACAGGAGAATAGCAGTCCATACTAACTTGGGCATAAATTTGAGATCCTATTCAAAAAATAACTAAAGCAAGAGGCTGGTGGTGTGGCTCAAGTGGTAGAGTTCCTGCCTGGAAAACGCAAGGCCCTGAGTTCAAACCCCACTACCACAAAAAAAAGAAGGTTGGGGTTATGTGTGTACAGGAACTCTCTTCTTTGTCCTCCCACTCTATTCTCCTTCTTTTTCCTCTCTTCTTTCTACTGCTCCTTCTCCTCCTCCCTTCTCTTCCTCTCCTCTTCTTCTTCCTCTTGCTCCTTCTCCTTCTTCACATGTTTTGCAGAATCTGGAAAGCAACCAAATTTTACCACATCCTAATGGCCAAATAACAATGAGGGACTCTGGCAGGGGAAGGGGAGGATTACTAAAGAGGAAAAAACAGGCAGAAGAAAACAATTTATAAGGTGCCCACTGCCTTGGTTTGCACTGGACAGAGGTACTGGTTTGAGTGTATTTTAGTGCTGGGTCCTACACACCCCTCCATCTTGGCAAACCAGGACAGCTGGTCACTGCACGGTGGCAAAACCCTAAACTACCCCAAGCCACAAACTAACCCAGACGCAAGCGTCCAGAAAGTCCCTGGTGGCACTCTTGCTCTGGCCCTGTGCCTGTCTGCGGCCATTGGCTCTGTGATCTGAGCTGGCTCTTTCTGCTCTCAGAGGCATCGCCTTACTACTGTGTCCCCACCCCCACTGTCCTGGGCCTATCAAGAGCCTGACCCAGTAGACAAGACGCACGCTCCCCACTTGGGCTTCATGGACTTGCCATCCAGCTGCGTGGTGGTGACCGGTAAGGCTGTGTTTTCCTGTGTTCCCGTTTGCTACTGCTGTGAGCCTGTGTCCCTGGAATATGCAATTATGGCAACTGGTGGTGCTCCTAGTTCCAGATGGGAGCCAACTTCCTGCTGTGTCCTATTAAAAAACAGGCAGGGGACAGAGGCTTTCCTGCCTCCTGGCTCATTGTCTCCAAATAACTTGAGTAGCTTGCACAAAGATGCCCACTGTGGGTGAGGCTAAACCTTGTCTGCCCTTCAGTCCCTCAGAGAGGAAGCCAAGGTTGGCACCTGCTGTCCTTGACTTTAGGATCCATTGGGCACAAGTGGCATTCTTGGGGTACAGTTTCATAGCAAGAAAGGGGGAACTGTAGCTCAGAAGAGACAGTACCATCACTAGGATCACAGAGTCAGCTACAAGGACCACACCCCAAAGGAACATGCAATCCCCACTGGCACAATGAGAGCTTGCTACCATGGGAACTCTGAAGTCCCACACCTTAGCCACTAATTTATGCCCCGAACCCCAAAAGGTCAACCTGGAAGGAATGGTGACTGCTCACTACTGGGTTTCACCCAGCTCCACTTGCCTGATCATGTCATTGTCACAGCTGGTCCCTGGGGGCTTGATCTTTTTTCTCAAAGCTCTTTATTTTTAGTTAGACATCAAAGCACTATGTTTATTTTTAGCTAAATACATTTAGCATGTTTACAAGAAGACTCCTGTGTGTGCGAAAGTCACCTATCTTCACGATATTTTCAGGCTGTAATTCATACTTCTATCAACCTTCAAAAAAAATTCTTTTGAAACCCTTTTCTCTCCCCTGTTCTCATTTGTGTTATTTCAGGGCTAGAGATGGAATGGCTCAAATTACACTTGAATTCTTGAGAAAACTGTACTCTAAGGAAATGCAGTCTTTTCATCAAGGAGATATGGGTCTTCACAGGCCCTCGCCCCTCCTACAATCACACCGACCCTTACCTTTGTCTTGTCAGCCTGTTGTTCACTGGCAGATCCTAGATCATTTGGGGAAATAGCTGATAATCAGCCACAGTTTGGATTCCAGAACATGGACCACCTTTATTAGAAATGCTTTGAGCTGCCAGGACAGTCCCTTCATTTCACTGGATTTGCCCTGTGTATAAATCTGCCCATGATGATGATTGGCACGTAGACAGATGGTGGGGAGGCGAGGGCTCTGACAAATTGCCCCCAGATCAAGGTGTTCTGACTGGCACCAACAATAACAATGAGAGACGGAGGACCTGCCCCTTCCTAGGGCCTCTGGATTTCAAGGTCTTTCTCCAGCTCCTTCCCCAGTTCCTCTCCAGGGCCAGAAACCTGACAGTGAAGTTTGACCCAGCAAAATAAGAGCATCCAACCTTTATTTTCTGAATTGTTTTCCTAATTTAAAACAGATAAGAGATATGATTTTCGCTGATGTTAATATGATTCTAAAAGGAATGTAATTGTGTGTATGTGTATGTGTTTGCTGCATATTTATTAACCTGATCTCTCAGTAATTTTTTCCTTTAATTTCAATTATTGTTCTTTATTGCTGATGGTGTCTGAGGCAGCTACAGTTGTATTTATTCTATACAATTCAGTCATTCAGTCAAAAGTTACCTCCAGGCATCCTGGACATCTTTTTGAAAACTTTGTCATGCCCTGAGTTTTCTCCTTGTGAGCTAATCCTATTAGTGTTTGTAGACACGGGTGTTCAGGAAGTGCCAAGGTGCTATTGGAGTTCCTTTCCAGAACTGGTTCTTACTCTAAAGACCTGAAGTCCAGGGATTTGGGGTTTCAGAAGTTGAAGTTCAATTGCAGCTCTTACCTATCTCAAAATTTGTATGAATGGAGGGCTGGATGTGCTGGTTCATGTCTGTAATTCCAGAGTCTAGGGAGGCGTAAGTAGGAGAATTGCTGTCTGAGGCAGGCCCAAGCAAAGAGGGCAAGACCCTATCTGAAAAATAAGTAGAGCAAAAAAGGCTGGAGGTGTGGCTCAAGTGGTAGGTCATCTGCTTAGCAAGCAGGAGGCCCTGAGTTCAAATCCCAGTACTACCCCCCACAAAAAATAATTCATATGAATTGGAAACATGTCATGGGAATCAGATGAAGGAGCTCAAATGCTCAGCTGTGTTCCTGAGCAGGACAATGCTGCCCAGATGTGCAGCCACCCTGAGATGAGTGTCCCCTTTGTCCACAGGCTAATCTGACAGCGGTTCCTCTCCTCCACAGAAGACCACACGTTTTTTAAGGTTTTCATTGTAAAATAACTATACATTCAAGTCAATTTGCAAAAAATGTACAGAAACATGCCCTGAACCCTTTAACCAATCTCTTCTGATGTGAACATCTTCAATTTCAAAGCCAGGATGTTGACATTGGTATAATCCAATGTGCGTGCATGTGTGTGTGGCTCGATACAATTTCTTCACGTGTAGCTTCTTGCAACAACGACCACAATCAAGAAACAGAATTCTGTCAGCACCACAGAGCCCTCAGAATGCTTCTCTGTCCCCTGCCCCGTGGCTAACACCTGATGTACATTACTCTGTTCTCCATCTCTATAATAATTTTATTCTAAAGATATTATATACATGGAGTCATGCAGTGTGTCTTTTTGAGACTAGCTTTTTTTTCTTACTCAGTATAAATTCTTTTGAGATTATCCAAATTGTTGTATCGATACTTCTTCCTTTCAAAAAAATGTAATGACTTTATTGAGATCCAATTCACCCATTTAAATTGTGCACACCATCAGCTCCTAGTATATATAGGGTTATACATTTAATATCACAATCAATTACAGAGCATCTTCAGTATCCCTAAAAAGACCCTACTCCCATTAGCCTTCACCACCCATGTCCCCAACACAAACACCCAGCCCTAGGCAACTAGCAATTTGCTTTCTGTCTGTATAGATTTGGGGTTTGAACCTAAGGCCTGTGCACATTAGACATATGTTCTACTGCTGAACTAAACCCTCACCCCAAAGTTTGTAATGTGATGGAATCCAACCTATCACTTTTTCCTTTTAAGGACTGCACTTCTGTTTTCAAGTCTAAGGACTCTTTGCCTAGCCTTGGCTCCAAAATTTTCTCTCTTCTTTGTCCCTTAAATGTCTTATGGTTTGTCTTGTTACACTTAAGTCCATGATCCATTTTGAATTCATCTGTGTAAAAGGTGTAAGCCTTAGGTGGGAAACAGTGGCTCACACCTGTAATTCTAGCTACTTGGGAGGATGAGATCAGGAAGATCACAGTTTGAGACCGGCCGGGGCAAAAAGTTTACCAGACTCCATCTCGACCAATAGCTGGGAGCCGTGGCACAGGCTTGTCACCCCACATTGCAAGAGAAGCATACATAGGAGGATCGTGGTCCAGCCCAGCCCAGATACAAAGCTAGATCCTTTCTCAAAAATAACCAACACAAAAAGGGCTGGAGGCGTGGCTCGAGGGATAGAGCTCCTGCCTAGCAAGCACAAGGCTGAGAGGTCTGGATTTATTGCCAGGTCTCCTCTCCTCCATGGAATTGTTTTTGCATCTTCATCAACGAACAATTGGGAAAATTCCTGGGTTCTCTACAAGGCCCACCTACCTTTCAATCAGACCTTTGTGCCCTCATGTCCACAGCCCTCCTAATTTGTCAGTGGATCAGTCTCCCTTTCCTTTTGGGCTTCCCCACTGTGCCTGACACAGAGGACTCTGAGGCTGTCCCCAGACTGGCAAAGTTACAGGAGTCCCCTGGGGCCCACCATGACCTGGGGAGCAGGGAGAGATTCTTACGTTACCACTGTAAGCCAGGTATGGCCTGGCTTGAGCAAATCTGGGTATCTTTGGTTTCAGGTTTTGGGCCCTTCCGGCAACACCTGGTGAATTCCAGCTGGGAAGCGGTGAAGGTAAGCCGCCCCTCCCTTGCCCTGCTTCCTTCTGGGGCTCCTGAGAAGGCCCAGTGGGCGTGGGTCTCGGTCATCAGAGCCACATGGAAGGAAAGGCAAATTCTCTGGCCCCTGGCCCAATGGGCTGCTGTCAGTCGTTGGGTTGTGACTTGTTTGTTGCAGGTGCTCCTCTCATCTCTGGGGTAAAGAAAGGAGGCTAAAGGGAACTTCTTTGTAGGATGGGGAGGGCCCAAGACAGGCTCTGCTATACGGATAGCTTCTGGGGAAAGTCATTTCCCCCAGCCTCGTTTCCTCATTTGGGAATGATGATGTTGCATGGTTGCTCTGAGAATTCAAAGCAGCAAGTGCACACAGCAGTTTTGTACACAGGTTCACTTAAGCATTGTGCCTGGCACAGGGTAAGCACTTAGTAAGTGGTTACATTTTACTTTTTCTTTATTGATTTGGTGGGACTGGAGTTTGAACTCAGGATCTCATGCTTGCTGAGAAGGCACTCTACCGCTTGAGCCACATCTCCAGCTCTTTTCTTTTTTAGTTATTTTTCAGGTATGGACTTTTATTTTTGCCTAGGGTTAGCCTCATACCTCAATCCTCCTAGATGGCCATGCCTCCTGGGTAGCTGAGCCCACAAGCATGTGCCATCACAGCAAGCTTATTGATTGAGATAACGTCTTGCTAACTTTTTTCCTAGGCTGGCCATAATCCATAACCCTCCCAATCTTTGCCTCTTGAGTAGTTGGGATTACAGGCAGGCATCACCATTCCTAGCATAAGGTATGGTTTTTATTATAAGCAGCATGCTTGCTTTTAAGGATGTGCCATTTAGGCAAAAGAAAATCCTCAGACAGTCCTCAGTCCAGGAGGAGGACTGGGGGCTCCTCCACCAAGCGGACCTGTTTGTCCTTCCCTGGAAGATTGTCTGGTATTGGTCCCCGTGTGGACATCACTTACAGACTCCGGATATTGACCTCTGTTTATTCACACTTGACTTTCAATTTCAGCTTCTGTTGGATCAAGCCAGAGGTACGTCTCTAGTCTCTTTCTTAGAGTTTGCCAGTCAAGCTGAAAACACAATGAAACTGATAGTGTCATGCCCCTGTGGCATCTGTGGCGTTGACTTTCTAGCCTGTTGGCACAGAGGCAGTCAGGAGACTCTGAACTCTTAGTTAGCACTGGTGGTTTTTTCCAGCCAGGGAAAAGCTCAGAGAAGTGGGGACCCATTGCCAAGCCTCACTGTTGTGCACAACATATCAGAAAGGCCAGTCCCGGGGTTTCATGAGCTCCTGGATGTCCATGTCCAGTTCTTCTATCAACAGAGCTTCTCAGCCAAATTCCCAAGGTCCTAACTCCTGTTAACATGGGAATGGAAAAGAGCCAAACTGCTTGGGTTCATCTCCTAGCTCCAGCGGCTTCACGTTGTGGAACCTAAGACAAGCCATCCAATTTTTCTGTGCCTCTCTTTCCTCATCTGTAAAATGGGAAGGTTGTGAAGACTAAGGCAATTAACATGTGTTAACAGACAGGCACATTGTCAGTGCTCACAAATATAATTCTCCTAGGACTAGACAGCCATGCTATTAGTCAGTGTTCTTGCAGGCACATGGATGAGACTGGTGGATTCCTACAGGAAGTGGAATAATGCAGAGATTACTTGGGAGGCTCAAGGCTGACCAGTAGGGCTGGGGAAACTGGGGCAGAAAGAGATGCAGGGATAGAGGCATCAGGAAGTGGCTGTAGGATGGCAAACTCCCAGGACAGCTCTGAGGAACACACACACACGCATGCACACACACACACACACCAAGAGCTGAAAGCTGATGGGAGTGAGTGGTTAGCACACAAACAAAAAGGCAGGGAAGGGCAAATCCCACAGTTGGCTTCATGAGCAGCAGTGGACCTGGAAATGAAACCCAGGCTCCACCTAAGCCAGACCCTTGGAAAGGGAACTTGGGTCTGGAGCACCTCCAACTGCTGCAGACACTCATGCAATTTTTCCTGAGGACTTAAGACCTTAAGTTTCCTACAAATGAAGATGAACTAAATGTCAGTTTCCAATCCCAGAACGCTGAATACACAAGGAAGCAAACTACCATATGTAATAGTCAGCAGAAGCAGAGCTAGGACCTTCAGGACTCCAGCCACTACAGCAATCAGAAACAGCACAACTAGATGACAAACATTTAAGGCAGAATCATAAAAATAGGCAATGAGAGATTGTGAAAAGATCAGGTAAATTGAAAAAGGGAGTGATGGAAGTTATAGAAATTTTAGAAATACAGTTGTTAAAATAAACGCTCAACAGATGACATAAAAGCTGGTTTAAAGTCATAACAAATGAAGGGTGCCAATCTAGTATATGATTTTATTTATATTGAAGGTCCATATAAAGCAAATCTATTGAGACAAAAAATGGATTAGTGGTTGCCTAGGGTGGGTAGGATGGCAGGATGGGGCATTAGCGGCAGTAGATGGATATGAGGCTTCTTTTGGATGAGATGAAAAGGTTCTAAAATAGAGTGTAATAATGGTAACAGAACTCCAATTATATGAAAAACCAATTGTAAGCTTTCAATGGTAATGTTTCTGGTATATGAATGATCTTTCCAGCAGATAGCTGTTTATCTGCACACAAAAAAATATACTATAAATGGCCATTTATAGAAATAGAGAAAAAATTAGTGAACAGAAGACAGATCTGAAGATATTACTCAAAGGACAGGGTAAAGAGATGGACAAGTAAGTAAAAAATTAAGAGATATGGATAATAAGTTATACCTTCTAATGTATGTTTAATTGCAGTTCTGTAAGGAGAAAACATTGAGAATGGAAAAGAAGCAATATTCAAAAAATATTGATTGAGACTATTCTAGAATTCACAAAAGACATGAATCCACAGAGATAAAAAGCACAAAGTATAGCAAGTTAGAACAAAGGAAAATCCATACTTAAGCACATCATAGTAAAGCTGCAGAACATGAAAGACAAGATCTTAAAATCCTTAGAGAGAAAAGACAGATAGCCTTAAAAAATGGGCAGTCTAAATTAGACTAAGCCTAAATTTCGGAAAAGTGACAATAAAAACCTGAAAACAGTAAAATTATATCTTGAACATGCTGAAAATATAATTCCCAACCAGAAATTTTGCAGCCAGAAAAAATATTTTTCAAGAACAAGGAAATAGCCAGGCACCAGTGGCTCACACCTGTAATCCTACCTACTGAGGAGGCGGAGATCAGGAGGATTGAGGTTCGAAGCCAACCCTGGCAAAATAATCCGTGAGACCCTATCTCAGAAAAAAACCCATCAGAAAAAAGGTGGTGGAGTGGCTCAAGGTGCAGGCCCTGAGTTCAAACCCCAGTACCACAAAAAAAAAAAAAAAAAAGAACAAGGAAACAGTACAGACATTGTCATAAAAAATAAATACCATGCTATGTATGTAGGTAAAATCAGCACTAGCATTGTTTGTATAAAAATAATAAAATAATTGCTAATTTTCTAGCTTAAAAAAAAAAGACTGACCTAAAATATAGGACAATGAAGCATGATGCTCACCCAAATGCATTAACCCTACAGCCATTGCACTGTGGCTGACCCTCTGCCACAGCTCATGTCCAACATCGTCCTAGCTTTCCTCCTAGTACCTGGACAGACTGGGGCATAGTCTTCTTGATCGATCTTTGGTGTTTAACTTTCTAGCTCATTATATATTCTAGATCATAATCCTTTGCCTCTTGAATAGCTTGCAAAGATTTTCTCCCATTCTGTGTGCTATTTGGTAATTTGCACTCTTCTTTCTGGTAATTGTTGCCTTCTATGTGAACAACCTTTTTAATTTGATGCAATCCCATTAGTCAATTCTTGCCCTTATTTCATGAGCAATTAGAATCATATTCAGAAAGTTATTGCCCACACCTTCCGGTGTTTTCCTGTAGTAGTTTCAAAGTTTCATGTCTTTCATTAAGGTCTTTGACCCATTTTGAACTGATTTTTGTATAGGGTGAGAGAAAGGAGGTCTAGTTTCAGACTCCTACATGTGGACATCCAGTTTTCCAAGCACTGTTTTTTGAAGAGGCTGTCTTTAGTCCAGCCTTTGTTTTTGGCAACTCTATCAAAATCAGATAGCTGTAGCTATATGGGTTTATTTCTGGGTCTTCTATACTATTCCATTGGACTATATGTCTGTTTTTGCACCAATGCCATGCTGTTTTTGTTACTACAGCTTTATAGTATAATTTGAAGTCTATAGTATAATTTGGAGGTTCTGGGATACCTTCAGTATTGCTCTTTTGCTCAGGTTTGCTTGGACCATTCAGTGACTTCTATGCTTCCATAGAATTTTTGGATTGATTTTTTATTTCTGTGGAGAATGACATTGAGATTTTGATGGGAATTTCACTGAATATGTAGATGGCTTTTGGAGGTGTAGTCAATTTCACAATATTAATTCTATCAATTAACAAGCATGTAAAGTCTTTTCCATCTACTGTCATCAGTTTCTCTCTTCAATGTTTTATAGTTTTCATGGAGAAGTCTTTCACCACCTTTGTTACTTTTATTCCTAGGTATTTAATTTTTAAGGTATTGTGAATAGGGTTGTTTTCCTAATTTCTTTCTCAGTTTGTTCACTGTTGATATATAGAAAAGCTACTGATTTTTGTATGTTGACTTGGTACCCTGCTACTTTGCTGAAAGTGTTTATCAGATCTAAGAATTTTTTGGTGGAGCCTTCCGGGTCTTGTAAAATATAAGATCATGTCATCTGCAAATCGGGACAAATTGACTTCTTCCTTTGCTATTTGCCTTCTTTTATTTCTTTCTCTTGCTTTATCACTCTGACTAGGAATTCAAGCACTATATTGAATAAGACTAGAGAGAGTGAACACCTTGTCTCATTCCTAACTTTAGAGGAAATGGTTTCAGTTTTTCCTCCATTTAGTATGATGATGGCTTATATTTGTCATATATAGTATTTATTATGTTGACCTAGTTTCCTCTATTCC